TATCCGTGACATCTTTATAGTGTTAAATTGTTCTCGGGTTGTTTTACATACGACCGTGCAATTTGTTTCGTCTCAATTGCCTTTTTTTTCATCGGTCGAACTGCTTTTTTTCGTTGCCGCCACCCTCTTTGGCGGTTTAAAACGATCCGCGTAATATAGTTGTCAGCAAAAGTCGATGGAACAGTTTGGTTAGTAATTCTTTTATCGAGAGCTGCGTGATCTGCATTTTTTTTTCGTTATCTTAATAATCGTTATTATATCCCATGGAACGGATATTTCGATTTCAAATATTCTTTGGAACAATAAAAAATAAGTTAGGGTTTTATTGCATAAGTTAGGGATAATTACACATTAACAACATTAACATTAACATTAAAGATGCGTAGTTTTCATTGGGTCGCTTTTTTTAACAAAAAATTGTATTCTGAGCTATTATAGATTTCAAAACTATTTAGTTAGTTGAAAAAGATGTATAATAGTGGTATATCTAAGTCGTAATTGAATTGATTGAATTGATAATAAATGTAATAAAGCATTTTCCTATGTTTTTTCGTTTATTCGTCGTATTTAAGAGAATAATCAAATTCCAACATTGTTTCGATTTTTTCAGGCTCTCAAAGCGGCTATCCGCAGATACAATGTAAATTAAAACGCGTGACACCGTTTCAAAGCCTTTAACCTATAAGCTACAGCTTCCGGAACAGCTCACGAATCTGCGCTCAGATCGGAGAAATTCCGTGTAGCTTACCAATTCGACAATTAGAAACCTGAGCTAATTTCGACCGTGAACATTGCGAGACGGCGTCGATACCGTTCGATACGATCGAAATCGTATAGCAGGAAAGCGGACTCCTCGAATTTTACGCACGAAATTTCATTAGAAATTAATCAAAGACTCGCCATTTTGATCCCGAAACGCGCGGGTTTACGTGATATCGAGCTCACAATCCTGATGCAAATTAAAAAGAGAGCGATATCGATCTGTTTTGAATAAAGTGTCTCGGACAAAAGGCTTCTTTTATTTTCCGATTATTTTTTTCGAAATGTGGAATGTTTTTATGAACGCTGTTTTATTGTTATAAGGGGTGTTTTTTTCTATGTATAGAACTATAAATAAAAATAAAATAAAAATGCAATAAAACAACGATGCATTCTCCGATCGACATGAATTTCATTTATCCGAAAGATAATCTTGTGGCATTACATTTCAAATATGCTTTCTGGCATATGACCGCCACGGCTGGCGCGGATGTAGTCCAATCTGGACGTCCAATTTTCGATGACTTTTTCCAACATTTGTGGCCGTATATCGGCAATAACACGGCGAATGTTGTCTTCCAAATGGTCAAGCGTTTGTGGCTTATCCGCATAGACCAATGACTTTACATATCCCCACAGAAAGTAGTCTAGCGGTGTTAAATCACAAGATCTTGGAGGCCAATTCACAGGTCCGAAACGTGAAATTAGGCGGTCACCAAACGTGTCTTTCAATAAATCGATTGTGGCACGAGCTGTGTGACATGTTGAGCCGTCTTGTTGAAACTACATCTCCTGGACATCATGGTTATTCAATTCAGGAATGAAAGAGTTAGTAATCATAGCTCTATACCGATCACCATTGACTGTAACGTTCTGGCCATCATCGTTTTTCAAGAAGTACGGACCAATGATTCCACCAGCCCATAAAGCGCACCAAACAGTCAGTTTTTCTCGATGTAACGGTGTTTCGACATACACTTGAGGATTACCTTCGCTCCAAATGCGTCAGTCTTGTTTGTTGACGTAGCCATTCAACCAGAAGTGCGCTTCATCGCTAAACAAAATTCGCTTATGAAAATCGGGAACAACTCTTACTTGATCATCGATTGGCTTCAATTCCTGCACGAATTAGATTTTGCAACCACGTAAACCAAGATCCTTCCGCAAAATCTTCCATAAAGTGGATGGACACAAATCCAATTCCTATGCTCGTTGGCGGATGGACTCATTCGGGTCTTCCTCAATGCTACGCTCTACAGCAGCAATAGCTTCTTCTGTACGCACCGTACGGCGTCTCTGGGGATGCGAGTTATCATTAACAGAGAGTGGTGCGAAAACGTTCCGTGGTTAATCGAATTAATTGCTCTAATGGACGATTTTGCCGACGATAAAATGGACGTAGTGCGCGATACGTATTTCGCATAGAACCATTATTTAGTTTTTCAAGCGTGAGTCTATTCATGATGAATTGCCAAACCAAACTGATATTAAATCACGTGACAGTTGTTAAATCGGTCGCCATCTTGAACAGTAATGCCAACTTAAAGTTCTATACATCGAAAAAAAAAACACCCATTATTTTAATTTACAATATTCATTATGATTAACTTTTTTAATACTTTGATTTTTGATTTTGTGGGATTCATTTATGATTTCAATGATGAAATTATTAAAAAATTTTTTTGGATTGATGTATGCAAATTTGCTGTAGGAGATAAAGTATAGCATATATAATTTATTGACGGGCATCATTGAAGCAAAAGTTTTCATTTAAAAGATTTTAATGGATTTTTTTCGAACTTTAGTTGAAACGGTACACACCAAAACCTTTTCGCGCACTGGAACTAAATGAACTTGTCCTTTGGAATCAATATAACAAATTAAATAGAACAAAAAACACCAAAAAAGAGAAAGTTTTGGCGGTGAACATGTCAAGTCGAATGAAAAAAAAAATTAAGAAAGGATTAAGACCAGAGAAATGTTGTTTCCTAATGAGCGTTTGCGCGCCTATGATTTAGATTCTAGATTTTGTATTTACCATGGGCAACGCAACAACATAAATACAGGGCATCTCGAAATTAGACGTCGATATTTTAGTAGATTTTTAGTTAGGCTCCATGAAGATAATCCGAAACTAAGGCTCGATTTGTTCAATAGAGCGTAATAAAGTAAATAAAGTAAATATTCCGTTCAATTCAATTCAAAGTGTATTTATTGGTACTGGAGGAATACGTTATACAATAAATAAATACACCTGGTGGCGGGATCCAGCATAGCTGCTCATCTAACCACCTTTGAGCAAACATTATAAGAATTATAATTTAACAATCATACATAATTTAAAAAAAAAAGAAACTCGAGTGATTTATATATTTACATCTTTAATATAATCATCTTTGAACTTATAAACGACTTAGCAGTTGGACTGGTTCCGAAAATATTTGCGAAAAATCGTCCAGAAGGTTCAACTTTAAAACGAAGAGGTTGTGGACCCCAATTTGTACTTTAGGACGGTGAATAGTAGTTAAAATAATGACGTTTAATTTCAAAACACCCGGTGCTATTGACTGAAACTTTTTGAACTTGAAACCCTCCAAATCGAAGACGTTTAACGACGGTGTTTTTGATTTGACCCTGTTAATATGAGACAAAAAACAGTTACTTGCGTTTAACGCAGTATACCCGGTATAGAGGAGGAACGTATCAACCAGTCGTGATAAACGTGGGAGGCTTAATTTAGTTTTCAACTGTTTTTACGACTGGAAGATCTCGGATTACACAGTTCGCTTGATCTGTAATCAGATTAAAGTGAGACAAGTAAAGCATACCGTAGGATTTATTTTGACGATTGTCTGTGTTGCCGTGAATCTGTCTCACTTCCACTTGGCCTAGCCGCTTTCCGTATTTTGTAATACGAGTACGTAATGTAACCGGATGATCTGATTTTGGTGCCGGATAATATTTTCTACTTTTCTAATTATTTGACATTGACGTTTGGAAGGAATGATGTCCCCTGCGCTAACTAAATTGTATGGATTGTTTTAACACATACATTTGGTTAGTTTAGTTAGCAAAGAGCAAATATAGTTCAAATATTTGGACAAAAATATATCGTTTTTGAGATATTTTAATTTTCACTTTTTTGCCCAAAAACTTAGGTACTTTTTTGTTCTTATCAACTGAATTAAGTCCCCAACAATATTAGAATGAAAACATTTTGGAAGTCGTCCTACAATTTTCATTACAAAGTTATACAAAACTTTCTCTAATACAAAACACCAATTCGCACCAAGGTTATATTTGTTAATTCGCCCATTTTTCCGCGTTTCAAGATGATTAAATTTTTCGGTTCGTATAGGCAGGAAAAAGCAGTTCCTAACCTTCAATTTTGTTTTGTATGTACTGACGAGACATGGATATTTTAAAATGGTACAATTGGTCTTGGCAAAACCACTAAAGTTTATGAGCACAGTATGTAAAATTTCTTTGGGAAACTTAAATTATAAATGTCACTTTACTTACCCAGTAGTCCACTATATTTAGAATTGTAGCTTATAGCACGTAGTATTTAAATTGCCTGATATATTGCATAACATTTTTCTGTATATTAGTTTTTGGGTATATTTTTGCAAAAACAACACGAGTACATTCACTGACATGACCGTCAGAATTGACAAACGTCAAAATTGAAAAAACCGTGGGGTAAAATTTCCGAAAACATCCGATTACTCCCAAACCCGTGCGGTAAAATCCCGGGAACGTCCGAAGTGGCTCGGATCCGTGGGAAACAAAACTGACGTAGTAAAGTGACGCTTTCCGCACGCTAGATCGGAGGGTAATTAGGTATTTTACAGACGGGAGTAGAAAAACGGCACTTGACTCACGAGTTTATTTGACACGAACGGAGCGCAGCGGAGCAAGCGAGTGACTTAAAAAGTTTACAGAACGTGTTGCATGGCAATCGAAACTGACGTGGTAAAGTGACGTTTCCCGCACGCTAGATCGATCTGTAATTAGGTATTTTACAGACGGGAGTAAAAAAAACTTTTCCAAAATTGTTATTAAAAGAAATAGATTTTTGATAACTTTTTCGAGTTTTGCCGGTCGAAGGGGAAGCCTGTACTCTGTACTATGAAACTTTTGCATAAATTGATCCCGCGCGTTCCGATTCCCCCACTCCCCGCGATGTTTCGCGACGCTCGGTTTAGAAGGATGAAAAAAATCTGCATCGAGTCGCTTACCTTGATAATAATAAGTATAGGAATGTTATTCGGAATAAAACAGCAACGCCCATCGTTTATTTCTTGCACTAATATGTAGAAAACAGACGGTCCGACATCTTTAGCCTTCGCGCTGTTTTTTATGCCGAATATCGTCGTCGCAACGCGAAGAAAAAAATCGCTGGGTGTGATTCACGCTCCGCCACCACTATTTATGGACTAAACGAGGATCGTAAATATAATTGCAAAAATGTTGCGAGCGATTGAAACCGAGAAAATATGGAAGCGGTACGATGAACAGGTGTCGACTCGTAAAGTTGAACAGTGCCAACTGCGACCGGGGTGCTAATATTAATTGCGTTAGCTAAATAAGTTTTTTTTTAGCTTGGTGCGTGGCCGGGAAATTTATGATCGAGAAGCAGATGCGCGGGTACTAAATAGTTAGCGATAAATTACACCAAATAACAATAAAATCACACTCAGTTAATTAGTGTTCGTTTTGTAGTGACTCGTCTGCTCTGGGAACGTATGTCTGTTGTACGATAATTTGTTTACCGTACGAAACAAATTAGGTGACGTGGATGCCGAAAAGATACTGGGAAATAAATTAAGACGATTTTAAAATTTGTACAATATTCTCGCATTGTTGTAGTAAATAAATACCAAAACAGAACACACGCAATCTATTAAAATATACTGTGTAGTATAGGTATAAGTATATTATAATATAGCTATAGTATAAATGCTTGTTTTTAGAATATTTTCATAAATTTCCAAGGTGTTTGTTTGATCATTTTGAGTGCACCCGGAAGAATCATCATAATTATTAATTTGCTTAAGGTTAAAATTAATATTCTCTTTATTAATATAATTTTAGTTAATAGACCTCACTTGAAACTTTATTCTTCATTTTGTGCATAACATGTAAGATTTCATGAAAAGAGAAATCTCTAAAAACTCTTTAATGAACAGGAATTGTATTTGTTGTGTTATCTTTAAAACGGACAGGCATACCGCAGAAAATTATCGCCCAATAGCGATTACAGTCGCCTGTGGAAGTTTCTATGAAAAATTAAAAAGCCTGCATAGTTATTGTTTGATAATAAGACCTTTAATAGTATATTAAGCAAAAAGTGTGATAAACGGCATTTGAGTCAAGAGTTTATTTGACACAAGCGGAGCGAGTGTTTAATAAATGACTTAAATAGTTTACCGAACGTATTGCATATTATACTTTTCCTACGACCGTTTGGGTACATTTTTGCATAACAACCCCTTGCGGAAATATATCGCAAATGTCCGAAGTGACTCGGATTCGTGACAGACGAGACTGACGGTGTAAAATGACCCTTTACGCAAGCTAGATCGGTGTATAATTAGATATTTTATAAAAGGGAGTAGATAAAAATTGTTTTGAATCAAAAATACATCATAAACTTCTACTTCTATTCGAGACTAAGTTTAGGTCTAGGCTTATTTATTTTAATACACTATACAAAATGAACAAATATGTAGAAGGAAAAGAATATACTAATTCTCTTATGGAGAAATTTAAATCAAATCGCAAAAGTAAAGTCCCAAACGTAATACTTATATTTCGCGTGAATATTTGAAGTTTGTTTATGGGAGTATAAAAAACTTTTCCCAGGACTGAAGAACAGATTTTTAAGTCTAAACATTTCTAGAAAACTGTTTTTATACTTTGAATAAATTTTTACCTATTAATGTTTGTCACCTTGCACTGTTCGATCATTGTATTTTTATTTTTTATTGTCCGAATTTTAATATAATTTACTATCTCATTTACAATCATCATTTTATGTATCCATTTATGACTGACTGACGAAATTAATTGATCAACGGTTTATTTGTGATTTTCTTATTTTTATGAAGCAATTGCAGTATGGAGTGTTGTAATAACCAACTTCTAATTATAATTTCTTTTATAACTCCCTAGGCATTTCTCACCGAAAACCTTTAAATACACAAGGTGTTTGTATGAAAGCGCTGAATACATTAATATTGAACGAATGGAAACGATCTGTTTAAATTGAAACAGTTAATGCTGATAATTACCTTCCAAAAACTCGAGACGTGTTCAATGGGGAGAGTGGTTATGTATATGTATATTTGTGTTCGTTGTGGCATGCCTTTTAAATTGAGACAAGGTAATCGTCAGTCTCTTTACATTTTCAAATTTTTGGCGTAAAAAATCAAGTCGTCACATTATATTAGAACCTGCACCAAATTCAGGTCTGGAAGTATGTCGTTCATTTTACAGAAAAATTACTTATGAAAATGACAGAGATATAGAGAGAAAATACGCATGCAATATGGTTGACAAACAGAGGAAATATACCAGTTATTATTAGCAGTAAAATATGAATACCGCTGGAAAGAAAACGTTTAGAAATATTACAAATATTTAGAAAAAAAAATTTTTTTCAACACTTGAAAACTATTTAAGAGTTATATGAAATTCTAAACACTTTTCTTGGAATTGGAATTTTTTTGATCAATGAATCTGATTTTATTTTTCCCGAACTCTTTGCAGGGCACTATTTTCTTTTTGACGATTAATTAACCAAACTGTGCCCCAACAAAGATTAATTCCTTCCAGACAGTGATTTAAATCTTTACACAATTCGATAAGGCCGCCACCGAATCTCGGGATCCATATCCACGAAAATAAAAAATATCTCGGCATTTAAATGAGTCTATTTTGCATATTTTGTTTATTGCGCGGCCATCCGATAGAAATCTCCTTACATTAATTTTATAAAACAATGTTTTCTTCGTGATTTTGAAACCGCCCGTATGTGCGGCGGCACACGCCATGCCTAGCCGCCTAGATCTTCGATGATACGACTGCCGGGACAAATGCGACGTTGTCGGTTGTACTTTTTTTTTTTGTTCTCGAGACGAAGTGATTAATTAGTCCCGGTTACTTGGTTAATGTTATTGTCGAATAAACTCGATAATTTGATTCTGTCTCATAGTTTTATTATACGGTAACGTTTTTATAAGACGTTTGTAAGAAAACTTAACTTGTGTAACATTTTTTATAATTTTATAAGAAGTTTTCTAAGACGTCCAATACAAAAGAATAACTAACTAAAAAAACTAAGCACACTTGCTTTAAGAACAAATAAATAAACTGCAACTGAAAAGTGAGGTTATAATTGCATTATGGACATTTGAGATTTCGGCACTAATAATAATAATATTAATTAAAATAATAATAATAATAATAGGAATAAGAATAATATTTATTTAACAGCTATCCTTGAACATAACGCAGATTAATTTAACTATGTTTCCTATCTATTATATAATATGAAAAAAAAACATAATATTCTACCAAAAAAAAGAAACGATTTTATGTAGTTACAATACATCTGTGAATTTGACTTATAATAAATATCCACGTAGAAATGTAAGTTACAATTTAACATCAATAAGCCACTTAGTTAATTTCTTTCAAATGATTTTAATTTTATTTTATTTTTCAGTTCTAGAGGCAGTGCGTTATAAATTTTTTGCATTTTTTTATAAATTTAAATTTTGTCCAAGTTTAAAGCGTGTTTCATACTCGTGAGTTATTAATTTAACCATTAAATTAATTTTTTATTAAGAACAAAAGACAAAACAAAAAAATAAGAGATGGATATATATATAATTTTCAAAATTCTTTTTTGTATTACGTAAAGGGGCTGAACGTTTTCCAAGGTGCTTAAAATTACTTGAACACCTATACAAAACTATAGGTTTTTACATAGCGAACCAGGCTAACATGACGTCCTTTTATGTGGCGGTCATTTTTGTTTAGTTGAACATAAGTTGGACATAAATATCTTATTATATTTGTTATAATTAGTTTAAAAAAAATTCATGGGAATTTTCAATTTCTGTTTTTTTTTCAAAATTATGTTTCATATTGTTTAAAGGTAAAAAAAATGATAATTTTTTTTGTACCAAGTAAAAATAAGTCACGGAAGAATATTTGTAGAGTTTTTGAGTTGTCATAATATTTATCAAAAATATATCGCGGTCAACTTCTCAGTTAAATCACAATACAATGACAAGGACACGAAATAAATATGATATACAAAAAGATGAGGCGGATGTACAACTTATTTAAGGTTCATAATCTTAGTTACGTATAAATGGAGGGAAAAAGTTTTATATGAGACTAAAATTTAGTCACCGTTGACTGCGAAGTTTTATGAAATTAACGAAAACGTTTCGAGAGCAATCGATAACTTCTCAGGTGTTATAAAAAAAAAGTAATCGAAACGTAACCGTTACTATTAGAAAAAAAAATTAGTTGGGCTAGCTTTTCGGATAACTACTGAAATGAAATATTCATCTTAAAACAAAAATTTTATGTTTTGGTTCAACCGAACTTTGCCACTATTAAACCTGGTATAGGTTTGATCTACCAAAAACCAAAACTGAATCTTCTGACGAAATTTGACGTCCCAACATAAACGAACGTTCATTAAAGATGATATGGCGACATTTGTCAGATAACTTTCACCATTAATTATATTTTATTTCGCAATGTGGCGTTAATATTTTTCGGATTATTCTATTTGATTCTCATCTAGAATTTGCTGTGCATTTTTCTTTGTTATTCATTATTAGGGTAAGTTTTTTAAATAGCGAAGGGATAATTAAAGGAAAAATATATACACATATTTGGAAATATTTTCGTGACCGTATCGGATCCTATCATCGTAATAACATTTTATTGTTCTCCTAGTCAGCATCTGCAATATCATCATCTGTTGATTATTCTTCATTCAACATAGAAAATATAAAATTAAGAAGGATATAATATATGACATATGCTTAATATAACAGTAATATAGAGTTAAAACTTACATTTTTTATTTTTATTTTTTGCTGTTACAGAAGAAAGTTAGGACCTGCCAAACCACCTCATACTTGAAAAATATACAGATTTCACAATGCAAATTTAAAGTCTTCTCTGCCAGTACTACTACCATGGGTGGAAGTTTTTACAAGAAAATTAGTTGTAGTTTTTCGTTATTAATCTTTATTAATTGATATGACTGTATGTCGATGATTGCTCGCAAGTATAAAAATCTCAGAAAACCAAGTCAACTCGACACATTTGCCTAGATAATACCCGCCATTTTGGAGACTGTAACCTTGCCCCAGTAAAATCTTGCGTGTTCCGTTGAAGCTATTGTTATCTTATGGGATGATGCAGTTGCACAGAAAGTAGTCGTGTAAACAATTGCGGGAATACGACTTGTACTTGAAAGATAAGTGTATAATGCACGGTTGCAGAAATATTGCAGAGCGTCACATATTTTGAAACATGGACGATCATTCTCGAAAAATTGCCAAGGAATTAAACGTTCGAACGGCGAAACGTCAAGGTCTGTTTTGATAGAAATCTAAAAAATTTATAGTGCACTTGCGTCTTTACGGTTGTCTAAATATGGGTAACAAGCAATAAATTATATTAGAATAAGTTATAGTTGATGGCATTTTCCCATTAAACTCGCACAGAGATCCTATTTCTGACTCTAATTGTATACGCGAAATTAAAATAAATCAGTTCCTGGTGATGTTTACGGCCATAGTAAAACAAGTGGATCAATCACGTAAGATCACGTTCAAAAATATTTTTTCGTCGATACTAGTCGGTATGTATAATTAACGTCAAACTGGCTGCGCCTTATAATTTGTACCTCAAACTGAGTGCCATTATCACAAAACTTATTTTATTAGAGGTTTTTGCTTGCAAATGGTAAAAACATCATCCTGATTTATCAAATTTTCAACTTGTTCGTAACATTCATTCCTAATATTTCTAAATCGGGATTCAAGGTTCGTACAAATACGAGCCAGAAAACACTTTTTTATAGTTGTCTATCTAGTAGTTCTAACGGCAATGTGGTGGCCAATTCATCACCATATGGGAAACCTTTAATTCCTAGGGCAATAAAAGAAGGTTATCCTTTGTAATGAGTTGTCTAAAATTTTAAATACAACCATCAGACATAAAATTTGTTGAAACGTAAACAAAGTTTATGTAACAATGTAAATACAATGTTGAGTACAGTAGGATCCCGATTATCCCGGATAGCGTATCAAATAACACAATCTTCCACGTCACTATTGCAATCACCAAGCTGTTTGGAAAACGTGTGGTATCTTTCAGGCTCGGTTCCATAAAAAGTGCATTCCTAA